AAACACAGCAAATATCTGCTGAAGACTTGTCTTCAAACATCTTGTTTTTACCTTCTTTGTCCACAGAGAGCGGTGGCATCTGCATCTCATCCAGGCCTTCACAACCAGAAGCAGAGATTGTCCCAGGAATGGCCATGAGACCTTTTTGGGAATAAAGCCAGTGCTCATGGACAGTGAGGTACAGTTCTCATCCCTATTTGTGTGTTTGTTAGGGTTCGGGACATGGATAGAGTTAGTTGGGATTAGGGTTTGGGATAGGGATACGGTTGATGGGATAAGGTTTGGGGTTTTGGATTGGGATAGAGAAGTTGGAATTAGACTTAAGGTTAAGGTTTGTGATATGGATGGATTAGTTAGGATTGGGGATAAAGTAGTTGGTGTGATCAAAACTAACATACTATACTAATAAATTACTATCTTCACATAATAAAACTTTCTCAACAATTAATACAAATTTCCATTGAAAAGAGGCTTCTTCACTTCTAACTGGTGGAGGGGAGTACAGCCAATATATGTCCTGTGGGTGGGACAAAAAATAAAACTACTTCAGGTCCCTCCTGTTGGGTGGGCCGTCTGGGTCATCTGGGGAAGTGTAAACAGTCGTGTTAATCCTCAACAGAATGGTTTTTGGGTGTGGGTGATAGGTTGTGTGTTAGCCCACCTTAAAATTTCATGTCCAGTTTCCTAGCGGAAGTCTTCAACAAAGAGTTATTGTTTTCCTTTTAACTCTCGGATTTGTCGTTGTTTATATCTGTATGGAATTGTGAGGTGACCCTCCAGTCATTTGTGACAACAGAGATAAGTGGATGAGAAATGTATTTGAAGATATTTATTGATAGTTTGTTATACAAGTATGTGTAAACTGAAGTAAACATTGACAATTTGCTGGGGGTTGTAACAAGATACACCAAAAACCACACAGTAGTAGGTGTGGTTACTTTCAGTGTATCCCATTTATTTACAAAGATGTTTTCCTTCAGTCTAGGTGTGTTGGTCAATCTGTCCACACTGCAGACCTTGTAAAGTGAATCCACTGACTTATATTCTTAAATAGACTTTTCAGTACGTGATGTACGTACATCTCAGGAGAAATCAGTGGTACAGTTTGAAATGAACTGACAGTTATGGTTTTGTGTTACTTTTTAATGTTGACAGATTACAGTCTAATAAAGCTGAGTGACTTGACTGTCTGTGACTTTAAGGCCTTGAAGAGAGATGAGTGCTTGAATAAAAGTTTGCTTAGTTCAAAGCTGACAGTGTGAGGCTGTTAAAGGCTCTACGTCAGGCACCCAGATAGAGTGGAGTAAAAATGAAATGATTTGTTTTGGAATCCTTGACGTGGACTGATGATGTTGTGGAAATGACTGAGTGCCATGTGTTCTTTCCACAGCTCTGACTCTGTCGCCATTTCTCCAATCAGGTAAGATTCTGTTGATCTAGTAGATCAACAGTGACCTTGAACCTTGCAATTGTGTGTGTGTGTTGTAGGTGGTTATGGGAGGCATAATAATTGTATAATTGTGTGGTTGAATGAAGCATCCAGTGACTGTTGTCTTCATCTGAACAAAAGAAACAGATGAAGAAAATGTACAGATGTCCCTTATTCCATTGTGGTGTTTGCATTAGCACTGAAGAAGCCACAACTTTGTATTACTGTTGATAGTGAGCAGTCATAGTGATGTGTAAACATGTAGTTGTTGGCAGTGCTGTTGAAGTGACTACTTTGTAGCTGCTTTTAAGGAAAACCTGTTTGTTTGTGTTAACATGTGGCACAGTGACGTGTTCTTCTAATCTGCAGGTTCTTCCACACTGCGTACGAGGAGGAGTTTGGCTCCATCAACTGTGGCTTTCCATCGTGATGGGAAGAGGTAAGTGAGACCAACATTGATTGTGTTATTCCAGCTTCTTCCATTTATTGTCAGATCACTTGTTGGCTGGACTTGTGATTGTTTTACTGAATTGTAATGACTTCGTGTAACTTGATCGCTATTGTCAATAACAGATTTTATTGACTTGTATGAGTATTGGGTCAGAGAGAACTGTGATTTAATTTTATCTATATGTATGGCATATTTCAATAAAGTTGATTTGCATTCACATTTTAAGGTGTAAACTTGTATTTTGAAAGTGTTTTTTTCTGTACAAAAGATTGTGTTGTTTTAATTTTAATTTTTTTTGGGGGGGGGGTGCGGTTTTAGAACAAATTTTCTGGTATACAGTTTTTATTTTTCCTGCTTTGCATGAGGTCATATTTCATGTTTTATTCATGAACAACATAGTATAACATGTTTTTTCCCAATTTTTTAAAACTATAATGTGATTAAGTGGAAGTTAAACAAATGTCACTTGGATAATTTCTAACATTTTAACATTTTTGGAAAGAATGATTTATGAGAGTTTATTTTTTGTAAATTTTTATTTAGTTTTATCATTTATCATACAGTTACAT